CAGTTTATCTTGGCTTATGCTCAGTTTTCCCGGTGATTTGTTTGTCTTGACTAAATTATTTGAATATCATTTGTTTATTATGTAACCTTTCCATCTTCACATTTTATTTTTTWAATTGTTTTACATTTTATCTCCAATTGTTGAAAATGTATTAATGTGTTAAAATGTTTTATAAATCCATGATAGAATTATAAGATCATTGTATTTTCTCAAAATAACCAAGTGAATATAATATTGAACATAAATCTGTATAGTGTCAAGAAAATATTTAAGTGTTGGCACAAACATCCAAAAAAGATATCTAAGTAGTAAGTTCAGCCTTTCCAAGACTGAAACATATCATAAGATTCATCCTTTCAGGTTAAGAGATACAATGGAATTTTTCAGATGAATGTGTAAAAATTTAACTTTATAAGATGTTCAATCTTTTTATTTCTAGAATTTTGTGAAATATAAGCAGAAAGCTATAATTTACAATACTATTTTTAGTTTATCAATCAAGTCATCTCAATATTTTTCAGAACAAAAACAAATGTAAAGTTATGTTTTCAATAGAAATTATTGAATCTTGTTATTAAATTTAAAGACATACAAAAATTACTATGGTATTTTTTTAGATTACTTTCCCCAAAAATGTTTAAATCCTGATATTGCCACAAGATTATTAATGAATAGACTTAAGGCTGAAGGGAAATAAAAGTTATGATTTTAAAATCAAATTGAATGTTCTCTAATATCGAGGACATATGATTTAGAAAAGCAATTATTATCATGTGMTTAATAAATATTAAGCAGTTTTAATTGGACAAAGCCAGTGTTGTACTGAAGAGGAATGCATTTGGGGCAATATAGGAGAGAAAAATGTTCAGAAATTTTAGTTTTAGCTATCACTTATGCCACATGAGTTTTAAAAAGTACCRTACTGATTATATCTGAGGAGGGCCACAGAGTACGATAGGGGACCTAAGATTAGTGTGACAGAGTCTGAGGCATTTGTACAGGCAGGAATAAATAGTATTACTGGTGGATCAAAAAGATTTCCTTGAATACTATGAACAACTGCTTTGTTCAAACTAAACCTTTAATTGGAAACAATTTCTCTTCATTAAATCAAAAGAAGTACTGAAAACTATGAACACAATAAAAATAGCATCAGTGTTTGTGTTTCTGTTCAGTGTGCTTGAGAAGTATGCAAAACCTATTGGACAGATCTTTAACCGAGGAGCCCTGGCTGTCAGTGGTAAACTGATACTCTCCCCAGTGTTTGAAATGAATGTGATACAAAATTGTTCTTCCTAATATTTATTATCCCAATAATTTTAGTGTTTTACTCCAAGGATGAATCTTATGATATGTTTCAATCTCGAAAAGGCTAAACTTACTACTTAAAACCCTAACTCTAAGGATTTCATTATTTTTTAAAATGAATTGTAATAGGACGTAAACTAAGACTTATTGTGGAGAAAATTACTCAAACTATGATTTTATTTACTCATCAGATAAAGCATTGATAATCATGGTTTTACATTGATATTTACATGCTGCCATAAGAGTCTTTCTAGGGAAGAATGCAGTGTGACACATGGAAAGTCTATTTGCTATAATATATTTTTTTTTTGCATGTATGTTTTTGTTACCAGGAATTGAACCCAGGGTCACTTAATCACTGAACCACATCYCCAGCCCCTTTTATTTTTTCTTTTGAGATATGGTCTCCTTAAGTTGCTTAGAGCCTCACTAAGTTGCTGAGGCTGGCTTTGAAACTGTGATCCTCCTGTCTCAGCCTCCCAAACTCCTGGGATTACAGGCATATGCTACCACACATGGCTATTTGCTATAATCTTCCAAATTAAAACATTTTAAAGTGATGTGGTTACTAAAGTAAGTTTTGAAAAAGTATTGAAAATAGTCTTTGATATAATATTTCCTCATGGTATTTGGATCAGTGTTTAACATTTTAGCTAGTACAACCTATGTTGCCATTTTGGTTGACTTTTAAAGGACTGGGAAAATAATTCAACACAGGTGGGTACCTAAGCCACAACTACCTATAGCTATTTATCATTGGCATTATATAGAGATCTTGGTGAAATATTAGAAATAAAATTATCCCTATAATTGAAAAAAAATTAATGAAAAGACTAATTTTAATGTGTTTTATTTTTGTAACTTAAAATCATGACAATTTACCCAAAATTAGTGCTAAGGATTTGGGTTGACTAACTAGTAAATATTTTGTAGGTAAAATGTTTAAGAGACATTCATGTAAGAATATTTTGGAAAATGCTAGATAAGAAACCCAAGCTTGGAAGCATRGAACAAAATGGTAAGGGAAATCCCATGGTTTCTAATATAAAAGTTGAAATATGAGAAAAGAAGTCAGATACTTAATTCTATTAAACAAGATTCTATTTATGAGGACTGATATGATAGAGAAAAAAAATCTACTGGAGAAAACACCTGTGGGAATGGGGAAATAAGGAGGAATTGGGAACACAAACACACTTGGATGTTAAATCTTGATTCATGGATCAAATGAATAATAATAATTTTGAGAGGGGTTAAGTAAATAGTTGGTATGGAATGGAGTTAAGTATCTGAGGTAAGACTGGAACTTACGTTTAATTGAACCATAACCAGAGTTCTGGACCTTTGGTGACTGCCATTGATTGAATAACACAATGGAGACAAAGTCCATATTTTTTTGATGAAATATTGTGAGTTAGATTTTGCTTGAATAAAATCAAGAGCCTGTGAAATATTCCTGGGAAATCAATAATTCAGTTGGATATAAAGGTCTAATGCACAGAGGAGCCATCTGAGCTGGACATATAAAATAAGATGTTCTTGTATTGCATACACGCCATAAAATCAGTGAGTTCACTTAAGAGTGGAAGGTACAAAGTGAAGAGAATCTATAAAAAATACGGGAGAATCTCAGAATTTAAAAGTTAGAAAAAAGGCAGTCGGAGAATACCAAAATAGAACAATTAGTAAGATGAGAAGAAAACCAGAAGGGCATAATACCATAGAATTTTAAGGAAGAGAAACATAGGATGACATATAACTGTAGGGAAGTCTGCAGAGACATCAAGAAAAGGAGGGAAAAATTCAAATAAGACTTAATGCAGAGAGGTGCTGTTCTGATTTCCAAGTCAGTGGAGACCTCACCATAACATGCTGAATACTGGTCACTTAAAAGGAAGTATTGGTAATAAATGCAAATTTAGACTCAGAATTCTAGCAGAAGTTGTTCATTGAATCTCAATATAGGCAGGTATAAATGAATCTGGGTTGTCACCTGGATCCTTGGGTCCTCTTTATTTAAAAGTTATTGGGTTGAGTAAAGATCAGCAAAATCCTATACTTTGTAAGCTTGCCAATGTTTACATTTGGGTCCAAAAGCACAAAGTTCAAAAAAGTTTGGTTTACTCTTTGTTTTCTTCCCTTTAGTTTCCTTGTACAGAATCCTTTTCATCTCACAATAGTGTGTGTGTGTGTGTGTGTGTGTGTGTGTGTGTGTGTATTTTATAAAACATTTGAGTACAAACCCAAGTTCAGGAGATTATGGGATAATCTTAGTGTTGGAAGATGAAATCAAAAAAATTCATATACTTTGCTGGGTTGTTTTTAATTTTACCCAAGGTAAGGATAGTTTTATTTTTTTGACATGATATTACTTTAAATGATATAAACATTTAGATTTCCTTAAAAATTGAATATACTAAACAAGCACTTGATTTTTTAAAAGAGAAACCAATTCTAATTAAATTTAAGTAGAAATTATATATATATATATATATATATATATATATATATATATTTTGGCGATGGGGAAGAACTCATTTGTATCTTCCATATTTAACAAATGCACTTAGTATCTACCATGTCCTAAGATCTATTCCAGGCTCTGAGGAAAAAATAAGGAACAAAGTAGAGTTCTACTCTATGGGAGCTTATATTTCTACTTGTATTTCTACTAGACAGGATAGACATTAAGCAAATATATGGATTTTTAAATGGTAAAAATTGATATCAAGGAAATAAAAGAATTTGGAAGTCAGAGTTGATAAGAAGTCCACAATTAGACTCAGAAGATCAGAAATCATGGAAAGGTAGCCTCTTGTGGCCACATCAACATAGTCTGGGAAGGATGCTGCTAATTCTTTCTTAGAAACATGGGCACATTGTTTCCAAATGGACAAGGACCTCTGATGACTGAGTCCAGATCTTTTGTCCACATTGGGCTTTGAAGAAAGATGATTTGCTGCCCTTTGCCATTTCTAGTGAAAGAGTGACTCTGTTAACACTGATTTTTTTTTTCTCAAAATTGGGATTGCAAGATAAAATACAGGACAACCAGTTATATTTGAATTTTAGATTAATAACAATTTTTAGTATTCAAATTTAACTAGGTATCTTGTATTTTTTTGGCTAAATCTTACAATCCCACCCCTAATGGGAAAGGTGTTTTGATGCTGAGTATCAAAATGACAAATATCATTAAAATAAATTAAATATGAAGAGTTAAGCAAGATAATATATAAGCCATCATCATAATCTAGTGTATTCTGTACTAAAGTAGGAGTATATATAAAGAGCTGTGGAAGAACATCTGAGAAAGCAATTTTTTTTTTTCTAGATGAATATTTTTACAGAGTTGTAGAGTGGGGGTGAATTTTGTGCTGGCTCTTGAAATGAAGTAGGCGTTTGCCAAGTAAGAAAAAAACARAGGAAAGAATTTACCAGCAGGAAGAAAAATATGGAGCAAGGCACATAGTTATGAAGTGACTGCCATAAAGTTTGGTGTGGTTTGTACTAAGCAGTTATATGAGTGAGATGGGAGAAGCTTGGGGTGACGTTGTGAAAATTTTATGTAGGAGAAGAAACAGGGATCTTTCAGATACTTATGAATCAGTGAGGGTTTGAAAGCTTGCTTTAGCAGAAGAGCTGCTATTCATGATCTTAATCTTGGTTTTATATGTTGTTAAAGCATCTTGATCGCTTCTCGGCCTTTTGGCTAAGATCAAGTGTAGCATCTTGATATCCCAAAAGAGAAAAAAAAATCACCTTAAGTCCCTCAGTTGTTAACAGTGTGCCTGTTTGATATATATATATATATATATATATATATATATATATATATATATATGTACATACATACATACATACATACACACACACACATTAAAAATTAGGACTACTGAATTGTATCCTGGTTTTGTTTCCATGTGTTTTTTTTTTAAGTAAAATACTGTTTTATACAATGGCTGTATCAATTTATATTACCAAGAACAGAGTGCAAGGGTTCTTTTCTGCATACCCTTTCGAGCACTTGTCTTTTGTCCTTTTGATAAAAGTCGTTCTAGCAGGTGTGAGGTGAAGTCTCATTATGGTTTTAATATGAATTTTCCTAATGAACAAATCATCTTGAGGACCTTTTTCGACATTTGTTGCCATTTGTATGACTTTGAGAACATTTCCATTCACAATGGTTGAACATTTTTAAATAGGTTACCTGTTCTTTTGTTATTGAGTTATATAATTTTCTTATGTATTTTGGATATTAACTTCTTACCAGCTATATGGTTTGGAAATGTTTATTCTTAATCGGTGGGCTGCCTTTCCATTTTGTTGACTATTTCCTTTTGCTGTGCAGAAGCTTTTAAAATTTGATATGGCCCTACTTGTTTATTTTTGCCTGTGTATTTGGCATCATATCCAAAAATCATAGTCATAGTGAATGTCAAAGTCCTGTGTTTTCTTCTAGGGCTTTTCCAGTTTCAGGATTTGCATTTAAGTTTTAAGTCTATTTGAATTAATCTTTGTATAAAGTGTAAGATAAAGGTCCTCTAAAGATTTTTCAAAATCATGAATAAGAGTCACATTTATTAAATGCTTTTTAGGCATCCATTGAGATGATCAGGTAATTTTTCTCTTTTAATATATTATTGAAATGGATTTATTGATTCCCTAGTTCTAAGTTATCCATGCATGCTTGGAATATATTATAGATTTGATTTACTAATATTTGATTCGATTCCTTGCCCCTATTGTCATTAGTRTAGTGAACCACTAATATTCCTGCCTTGGAAGAGTTTTGTCTGGTGTTGGTGTCAGCATTGTACTAGTTCACAGAATGAGTTTGGAGTATTATATTTTGTTTCTACTATTTAAAATTAGTACAATTTGAGCTTTTAGAGTGTTTGGTAGATTTTTCTTATAAAGTCATCTAGGCATGGTTCTTACACTGGAGGAAGATTTTTCTTCAAGAACATTTAATTATTGGACTATTTTTGCTTTTTATTTCTTATTAAGTTAGCACTGGAAAGTTATATTTTCTAAGACTCATCCATTTTATCTAAGTGTTTCAAATTCTCAGCGTAGAGGTCTTTGTAATATGTTTTGTCATCCAATATGTACTGTAATGTTTCGGTTGTTATTAATAATAGCATTTTATCATATCCTGTCTTTCTCTTCTTTGATGGTTTATGTTTTTTTTTTCCAAAAACCAGCTTTTGTCTTTGTTAATCTTTTCTACTTTAGTTTCTGTTTTTTAACTCTTGCTTTTATTGCTTATGTTTAATTTTCCCCTATTTTAGTTTTATTCTGCTTTTATTATTTTTTAAAATATTTTTTTTTAGTTGTAGTTGGGAACAATACCTTTATTTTGTTTATTTATTTTTATGTGGTGCTGAGGATCGAACCCAGGACCTCACACATGCTAGATGAGCACTCTACCGCTGAGCCACAGCCACAGCCCTTTTATTATTTTTAAGATTAACATTATAAATTCTGAGGATTTCACAGTGTTCTGTATTTCCATTTTGTACTTCCTTTACCATTGATCTTGACTAAAGAATCCAACAATTTCATTAGATTTATATTACATTATAAATATTTACATTAGTTAAATTATTTATTTTGAAACTTTCTTCTTTTTTCTACTAAGTATTCATACCCATGAATACCACAACTACAGCTTTTATTTCATCATGCTAAGTTTATGTCTGTTTTCCTTATCAGTCAATGAAAGGTATTTTAAATTTTCCAGTATAACTTTTTAAAGATCCTTTCGTTATTTAGAGTATATATTGAAACTTTCAGATATGTGAGGGATTTAAAAAAATCTTTTTTTTTTTTTTTTATCCTGGCGTGATCTGTGTGACACTTATTGGAAGTAATTGAGGCAATYTTTAGTTGATCAAATTTTATAAATATTCCATGAACGCTGGGGAAAAACTTGTGTCTTCTAATTCTAGTAGGCAAGCCTCACTTATTGTGGTTCTCAGGTTTTCTATATCTATGATGATTTTTTTGACATGTTTGATTTTGCAGTGACTGACAGAAATTTGTTAAAAGCTTTAACAGTGATAGTAAGTTTGTCACTTTGTTCCTGAATTACTTCCAACTGTTTTTTTGTATTTTGTATCTCATAAATTAGATACATACATTAGAATGCCTATAAAATGTAAATATATTAGGTACATTTACAAAATATTTTGTAGCTTGTGTTAGGTACATATTTTAAATTGTTTTATCCTTTTGGCAAATAGAAGTCTATCAGTATATAACTTTTTCATAAACATATTTCTCTTAAAGTTACTTTTTCTAATATTAATATAGCCATATAGTTTTATTTGGGTTAGCTTTTCTCTCATTTACCATTTGTTTTTTACTGTTTTACCTCAATATTTATACATCATTATRTTTTTGGTGTGTTACAAGCAGTATATATCTGTCAATTTTTATCTTTTAAGATATTTTCAATTTAGTATTTTTTAAAAATTATTATTATACTTGAACCTATTTATTTTTACAAACTTTACCAACTTATTGTTTGTTGTTTTTCCTTTATAATTCTTTTTAATTCTTAATCATTTGTATGATTTGAGTCATATTTATACCTCTCTCCTGATACAATAACTGCACCTTCTGAATCTCTGACCTTCCCACACTGAAACCAGGTGAGTCCACCTGCGCCTTCCATGCAAGCCTTCCATACACATACACCTGCATTAGCCCACACTAGCTCATCATTCTGGAAGTTTCAGTTCCCTGTATTTTCATTTTCTAATTCCTTCAGGGTTGATCTTGGTTAAAGAATGTTAACAGTTTTTCTAGCATTTCATATTATCAAAGCCAAAGCCTCATTGTTAGAATTGACATTTTTATATCTTACAAAGTGAAATTTGTATACTTTTATATAGGTGATTGGCTGATATTACTTATGCTACAGTAGATTAAATAGCTTTGCAATTACATTCAGTAATGTTTTGCTTTACATGAGACACTGGATGAAGGATACAAGTGGTCTAATTTTTTCTTCTCTCCTATGGGGGAAGTTATAATTTAAACTCTATTTTTTTAGGTTAAAATTTCTTTCCTTTTTTTTTTWAAGTAAGTCGTCTTCATTCCAAATGATGAAGAGATATGAATAGTTTTTTCCCTGGTTGGTCTAGCCTCATCTCACTTGGAGAGAGATTTCCAGCTGTGGAAATGTACTGGTGTTATTTACATGTATAAAGCCTTCTCTGGTTGGAATTGTCTGTGAGTTCTGTAACCCATTTGGATTTGTTTTTTTCATTTTCATGGAAATATTTAGGTGTTGGCATCTATTACTTAGTGAATTTTCTGTTTCTCTTAATGTGATGCTTTGAACCTGTGAAATCTGATTTTTTCCACCTTCTTAGACACTTTCTAAAAGATTAAAATATCGTTTATATTTATATTTATATTTTTTGGTACTAGGAATTGAAACCAGGGGTGCTCTAACACTGAGCTATATATCTGACTCAAATTATGTCTATTTTGAGGCAGAGTCTTCTTAAGTTATCCATTCTGGCCTTGAACTCGTGATCCTCCTTCCTCAGCTCCCACATTGCTGGGATTACAGGTGTGTGCCCTGTGTCTGGTTCAGGATTTATATTTTAAGCCAGATTCTCAACTGTGTATTTAAATATTAAGGATATAATACTATTTTAGAGATAGGGTTTACCCTACACATGTTTAAATTGTATACTCTTACAATTACTTTAGTCAGAAATATTTATCGAGAGTATAGCATATTTAAAACTTTTCCCAGGTAATGGAGGATATAATGATCACTAAATTCAACTATTTCTACCTTTTAAAATTACAAACTAAAGGACAGAAGTTATTTCCTAATGAATTAAGATCATTCACTATGAAAATTCACTATACGACAATGAAAATTTTGAAGTCTGCAAGATCTTGATATTCTCTTTTCCTGAGAACACCTCAGCATAATTAAAAGCTAGATTGGGTGTGCATGGAATCAGAAAAAAAGACTTTGTTTATATAATAGCTTTAGGCTAATGCATGCAGATTGCAATGGAGATTGTTCTATAATCTGTTTTTCTTCTCAAGCAAGAATTCAGGAATTGTCACAGTCAACATATACCATGATCACCCACTGAAATGGAAGAAAGTTTTATTGGGTATCAAATCAGGTTAGAACTAATCCTATTGGCTCTGAAGTCATAGTGCTTATTTGATGAATTTGTATCTGAGTTAGTTTGGATCTTTTTTCCATGCAACAACACTAAAGTAAGAGGAGCTCTACAAGGTATTCTCATTCTGATTTTCCAAGGTATTTTTTGAAGGAGGGGAACCTTATTATAGATCTCAAATACAGATTATGAATTTTATTATTTTCTTTATTTTAGATGTGTTCATAATTTCAACCTAATCTGCAATAAATCTCTTTTGAAAAGTATTGCAATTTCAGTTTATTTTGTTAATTTGGTGTTTGTACTTTACATTTGTCATTGAATTTCAGATTAGCTGAGAGAGTGTTCAGTGTAGCTAGTTCTGGGAATRACAGTCCAGTGAATAAACATTTATAAATGGGTCACTTTTACATAAGGACTATAACATATATAAATATAACAAGTATTAGAATATGGAAATAAGTATTAACTTAGGAAAATTCAATTAACTAAAGCTTTGCGAAATAAAGAAAAAATTAATCTCAAGAATATTATTTCAGTAATTTTTATGCCCAATCTTTATTCCAATGTTCTTACCTCAWTAGTGTCATATCTGTGTTCCCTAAATAAATTATTAAAAGTAAAATTGTTTTCCCAGAACACAAGGCTATTAAGTTGGACTATGACCATGACATGATGTTTCTGTCATACTATTTTTAGTTAGGTTAAGAAT